CAGTTTTCAGGGAATGAAAAATATCATTCGAATACGACAGTAAATCTCACCGAAAAAAAATTTTATTATAGCTCGGTCGGTAATCGGGCGGCCACGAAACAGAAGGCCGTGGTTCGTGTCACGATCATTCACACTTACTTTTTTACTTTTTTTTCGATTCCAAATCATTGCTTTCTTTATTTTTTATTTTCCAGATGATTTTGTTAGTTTTTCCCTGTTTTTTTAAAGTACTTTCTTTTGAAGAAAACACCAGTTCATATTTTCTTATTATTACGTAGGTAAGATCGAAAAATATTACGCATATTTCATTACTCAGTAAATCGTATCTAAATGTAATATTCAAAATACACGATTTACCAAAAAAAAAAAAACACCAGGTCCTCCAGGTGCTTATATTATTGAACATCATTGTTCTCTGTCATCGCACGTAATGTAAAGAGCAAGAATGTATTAATGGCCAAACAAAGATAACATCGAAGACATCTTGAAGTTGCCTGCATATTTTCGGAATAATAACAAAAATAATATATAAAATTTCGAAGATATGTGTCCTGATGTCCACTGTACAGAGGAGGCCTTTGCTCAGCAGTGTAATATGTACAGGCGGTTACTTTACTATTTACGAAGAATAAGGCACAGATGAAGCGGCTTGGGTCGCAAACAAGGTACGAATACCGAATCCTACTTTCCTTGTGACTTCAACTGGTGACTTTTAGTTCCAGTTACTGATATTAACCACTGTTTAATTTGATATCAATGTTTTCGTTTACGTGTCAGTCCGTTTTGGTCCTTCGAGCCGGATTTAAGGATTTATTTCACAACGATTTATTTCAACGTTTAAAAACTGCAATATTTAAAAACAATGTCTAATTCGTAATTTACAAATTAAGTCAGATAATCAATTATACTGTATGCCGGGAGATATATAAAATGACATATAAAAAAACTTATGAATTATCTCGATTCCGTATATATAACCACCAAGCAACATACACATTGTCACTTATTATTATCGAAATGGTACATCAAGAACTGGAGTACATTAACGAATTATTGCAGAGTCAAAACTATTGTGATACCTCCACACGGCGTATCGCGGCATCGACGGTGTTACTTATACAGATAATACACTTTTCGGAGTTTTGGATTGCCTTTTCGCGCTACTATAATCCAAAGATATCGAACTTAATCACAATTAGCAATATTTACCTTCTATCTGGAGAAAACAAACATCTATTGTTAAACTTATAGAAGAAAATGGACGCTACTGGATAGAGTTTAGATTCTGCTACTAATACATTATGAAGGAACCTTCTGAACGTTTCTGTCGTATAGGATTTACCCTGGCGGCATTATCTGCAAAGAAACTTTAGCGTACCGTGGAAAATGTTCGAGATACTCTTCAACTTGATACCAACACTGATGTGACGTCTTTTAAGGTCACGTCACTCCCGCACGATAACGAAGAGAGCTACAGACTATTTATAGTAAACTACTAAGTACCAATAAATAATATACAAACCTTTGCCTAGATACCTAGTTCATAAGCGAATATTTACAGTTACAGACTCTCTAGTATAGGATTGTAGACTTATAGCAAATTTTTTTATTATTCGATGTCCCATCAATGAAGTGCTTATGTTTAAATTTGTCATTTACCTGTTTAATAGGAGCATGTTCGGTTCACTGTTGAACCAAGTAGCTTTTTTAGCAAATCTTATCTTACCCAAAGCCTACCAATTTGTGGTAGGCATTATACAGCGTGTCGTTACCATCGCGACAATAAATGAACACATATAGGGGATAACTTTTTAAAGTTGTATTAAACGTTTAAATTCTTTAAACATCAGTATTTACAGAGTTATTAAATTTTCCAAAACAAAGAATTTTAGAACACCCTCACCTATAAAAGCGTAACGTAAAGTTCATTTGTAAAGGTCACAAAGCATATGAATGGGTGGAATGAATTTAAAAGAGACAAAACATACTGTTAGAAGGAGAGGCTTGTAATACGACGCTGTGCCGCGAGCTGTATAGGATGTTAGAAATTTTGTTTCTTTTTTACTTAATTAGTTTGAAAAAATTTTTTTTTTTTTAATTATGGATTTTGTTTTACGTTAATATTTTCTTATGATTATTGGCTCGTAGCGTTAAACGTGTGTTCATTTATTGTCGCGATGGTAACGACACGCTGTATATACTGCGGCAGGCTGTCGGTTCATGTTCGGTCATAAAGCGTAACCACGCGTTCTCAAAGTATCTTATCATATCATTCATACATTATGATAATTTCGTAATAAAGTGCTCTATTAAACTATTATTATCTATATCTTAATATCATTATAAGCAGTGTCAGGAATTATCTCCGACACAATGGTTTTTTGAGTTTAATCTATTTTGCAGCATTTCAATATTTGAGAAATAGGATAGGGATGGATGAGTATAAATAAAACATCATGAGTATTTAGATAAACCCCTTTGAATCATTGACATATAGGATAGCGTAGGCTCAGAAGAAACAGTGCATCCGGATAACAGATTTACGTGACGATACAATGTTGGTCACACGACAATGTTTGAACAGTAGGTGATACATATATAATAGACTACTACTAAATTGTAGGCGTTTACATAGACCGGTGCGCTACCCTAAACCATAAATAATGTATAGTTATAAACATCAAATTCACTAAATTGTTAGTCCACTTTCATAAAATACATTGTTTGGTACAATGATATTATGGACATAGACAACTGATAGTAGATGATGCGTTACGTAAAGCTGCAATGGTGCCCTTACAAAGGTTCTTAAACGATAAACCCATGCTTTCATAAAACGATTTAATAGACTAATCAAGTCATAGACATCGAAGCTAGCTGCCACGCTTAGGTTAACTCTTGAAATTCTTCACATTCACATTAATTATACGATGGAAAGCGATTTGAAACGAGAATGAAACAATAAAGCGCCCAGCATAAATAAAAAACTGTAGCGAACCGACAGAACTTACAATATTTTCATAATTGTATTATACATTACATAATTTTAACATTCGCGGCTTTACACGTTTGCGTATTTTTAACATGTATTTAACAGGCACGCCATCATAGTTTGTTAACACAAGATCACGCGTCTTAATAATGTAAACAGCGATAGCTATTGCTACCAAAACAACGCCAGCGTCGTGCAGACAAGAGGCGAGACAGCGGTACTCGAGTAACGGAAAATTAAAAGGGGCCACATCACTGGGATTTGTTACAGCTCCAAGCACAGCGCTGTCTCACAACTCTGTATCGGCGTTGTTTCACAGGCTTACCTCTTTGCAATAAATTAAATATTCAACCCCGTTATACATACATTGGTATTTACAGTGCGCTTATTAAATATCAGATATACAAGTTAAAAACGCTTAAATAGGTACATCATACAAACTGTGCTGGTTGTTAGTTTCTATGTGTTACATATAAAAATTATACAATATGATAAAATGTATGCACTATTTGGTGGGAGGATCCTTTGTATCCATTTACATTATCACTTTTCATGCGTAATTGGCTGTTGGTGTATAAAAACAAACAACACAAAAGGGTCCTCCCCGAAATTAGCGCAGTCAATTTTTAGGTATCTCTTGTAGTCATAGTTTTGTTAATTAATCACAAATCCTCTAAATTAAAACTGATTGCAATTGAAAATGGATATAGACTAAAAACCGAATATATCAAATAATAAAATATAAACATAATGATTTATTCTGATGTACTAAATAATAACATTGTAATGTGAGAGCACTAATTAACTACTCAAAATGAGATATTTAAACGATATTACAAAACTGCTTGCTTATTTACATAAAATATTGGGTCTCTCATCAAACAAAGTACTTATATACAAAGCATACACCTAACGCACACCTGTGAGTGTGCATGCTGATTGCAAATAATGGCAAATTACATCTCGACATTGCTCGAATGGTTGACACAGCGGTCTGTCCATTATCTAACATGAATGTATAGATTCAAAACTGTATCATATTAACAAAGTAACATATGGACAACAGAATAATTGCTGATGAAAATTGAGTACATTATAATATATTGGAAAATAGTTTAAATATCATTATTATACACATACCACATTTAACATAACCAAAAATTGAGGCATTGTTGCATGAAAGCAAAAGACATACCTCTGAATGATATAAGTTTTATGTATCCAAAGTGAATATTTGACAGGAAATTTAAGGATTGTGCTTTTTAAATTTTCATTTCAAAATAAGATGTGAAACAATAGCTGCTTAAACAAACTCCCGAAAGAGTTACTACATTGTGTTATTATTTTTATTGAATGATGCATTAAAAAAATGTTGGACCACACAATATGATACATTAAAATAAAGAGCGAGTCATTTTTCTTAAATAAAATGATTGATCATGATTCAATGATATGGGTAAAAGAATGACAAGTCAACTTTGTCAATATATTTATATAAAATAAAGTAAACTGTGTAAATTCTGTGAGTGAATGACTTAATTCTAACTCCTAATTTGATTTGTTACAGCATAATACATGTCACAAAATTCATATTTAACCAACATTAAGATTAAGATATATAGGTATTCATAATAACATTTAATCTATTTAACTACAGAAAACAAAATTATTATCTACAATGTTACAAATGAACCCTACTGTTACTTGAGGAGGTCGTTATTTATTACCAATATAATTACGTCGTTTTCTATAAATTATTGCACTATGAAAAGTTATCTACAGAAAAGCTACACTACAGCCGTTGAATGGAACAATGAAGTGGAATTATGGATGGTTTGCTTCCCTTAAAAGTACTAATAACATCAACAATATATCATATGAATAGTTTTTAAAATTTAGCGATAAACAGTAACCCTTAATATTACACATGTTTGAATGACTCTATATAGTATGGCGATGCCCCGAAAAATCGCATGCTGCGGGCTCCACACTTTTTAAAGCTGCTCTAGTTGAACAGTACTGAATTGGGATCCTCATTGTCCATCTGCTTCACGTGCCGTAGCACGTCCTTCTTGGTGATAACGCCCAGCAGACGTCTGAAAATAAATTGCAATGGTCATTTAATATAGATAAACAACATCAACATAAAACAGCATATATTTAAAGTCACAAAAATATCTGATTACATACAATTAAGTTTAATACATTTTCGGTGTTACTAGGATTTTAACCACCGTCTTTTGTGTAACGTGAAAGGAATTTTCGATGCTAACAAGCTCGTCCCGGTAAGTACTAACACCTCACAGAAGACAAATGCAAATACTAAAACGAAATATTTATACTTTTCTTTAGGAGTGAGTTACAGCGAGGACTGCTGCATGGTCCTACCACCATGAAAAATGCTGAGAAAAGATTCACAACTTGCTCACCCATTGTGTGTGACGAGGGTCTGCCTGAGGCCCAGCTTGCGGAACATGTCGACCACAGTCTCCATGGGGGTCTGATCAGTGACCGTGATGGGTGCCATGTCCAGAATACGGTTCAGCGGCAGATAGGTCGGCGGGCCGGGGGGCGGGTTGCCGTTGCCCGCGAATATCACCACCGACTGGCCGGTGATGCCCTCGATGGTCCTGCGCGCGTTCGCTGGGGAAGAGAACAAGTAGATCACAAAATTTATCAGGAAAAATTCTTCGAACTATTCCACTCTAGACCAAGTATTATTAAATCTTTTCAATTAATTTGATTAATATTGAATAATTACTTCTGTATAAAATGTTATTTGTAATTCATAGTTTGAAAAATTGAGTGTTATACCTATAGCCAAGTTCAGATCCCTGCGCAGGACAAAGCCAACTAGATATTGCGACTCTTTGGACACTACCACAGGGTATCCATTATGCTCAGTTTCTTTAAGAAGTGTTTCTACATCATCCACTGTCATTGAATCCTGTGTAATCACAGCCAAAGTCTCGTTACGCCTGAAAAGGACAGTGCAATGAACATCCACTGCTTTTAAGGCTTAATTTTGCAACAACAAAAGCTTACAAAAGAATGGCAAAAATTTGAATGTATAGCTGGCCGTTATATTGCACATGATTCCATATATTGAAATGAAACTATAAAACTGGGATCACCCTTACAGTTACAATAAACTCAGAGCAATGCAAATAGGCTCAATTACATTCACATATTAATTGTAACTTGCAAATGAGATAAAACACATATTTTTCTAGATGAAATTTATATGACGCAAAGCGTTACGAAAATTTTAGTCGCTTGCAAACAATTGTAATATAAATCGCATTTATAAATTATACAGTATTACAATGTATGTACACAGGAGGTTCATACTCGGTATGGTTTATTAAAATTAAAAACAAAGTTTTTTTTACAAAAAAAATTCTATTCCATTCCCTGAAAAACAGAACTTGTTGACAATGCGGTAGTCATTCATAAATGTGACGTAAACTTTTGAAAAGAACTTGTGTGCGTGTTAGCTATGAATGATCGCGCGTAAAATAAATAAGTTGCCCATAAATCACGCACCTTTTGAGGTAAATTCAAATGAATGTATTTAATTAATTACGAGTGATTTTAAATATTTATCATTTTTTATATAACATTATTTATCCCTAGAATTTACTAAAAAAAAAGGATATACTTAGAAAAGCTTCCCTGTATAAATGATAATACATATTATGCGTGCAAATTACTTTAACAGAACTTTTAAAATCACAATTGTAAATTAATGATTACTGATGATAGCTTCAGTTTTCAGTGGATAAATTATTATTATGACAAATCTCCAAACTTTTTTGAAAAGTTTTCATCTTTATAATGCAATAACTTCAATAACAAACATAAACATGTATATTAATACGCACTGTAAAGTAATTATGTTCATTGACAAAAACAGTATAATAACATTCGCTAAGAAATGTCCATCAACAAATTAGCAGTATTTAGAATGAGGGAAACTAAAGTCAATAAAGCCACTTCAAAGCAACAGCTATAAGATATAATAAGTATTTATTCAATACAATATGATTACATGGAATTTTGATGAATTTTATTTAATTTAACAGTCACATAAGATTTATCATCATGGTTTGGTTGCAAAAGTTACACCTTATCTATCGTATCTTTCTTTTTAATTATTTTAGAAAATGGCATGCAAGCTGGTGATTCACCTGATGTTAAGTAATAACCGCCGCCCAGGGACATTTGCTATGTATGCAAATGCGTTGCCACCTTTAAATAAATTGGGCCCCTTCAACCTCACTCACCAGACGAAACGCAGAAGAGTAACACTTTTACTTCACGCCAGTCTTGTGGAACTTCCCCAGACGGACCTGCCCATCCTCGCAACAGCGAAATCTGCCGCGTGTCCCTATGTATTATGTTAATGATTATTCTGATATGAAATAATACCCTTCTGATATGAAATATAGATACGCCTTTTTAAACTGTTAGAATATGTGTTTAGATAAGAAATGAAAAATTATTAAATCAAAATTCCTTACTTAGGCTGCATAACATCTGCGGCAAGTGATGTGTGCTGGAACTCATCTTTACTGTCAAGGAATGGATATCCATTGAGGGCGATATGAGCATCATATATACCCTGCCTTCCCAGGGCGTCACCAACCCATTTAGATGCCATTGCCGCTGCCATTAGGGGAACAATATAGCGCACCCCACCCGTCAACTCGAACATTATCACCACTAGGGAAACTGTAATTAATATAAATATTCCTTCACTTCAAGGCATTTATAGCTTTTACGTTAAATAAATGTTAATAAATTTGTATTGTGAATGTTTGTAGATAAATGAACAAAAAATTTCGCCGCATTTATGAATATTTACACGGGTTTGAATTTTTTTTGTGTCTTGAGTGTAGAGAATAGCTATAAAAAATAAAAATTAATCTTATAAATAAATTTGTAATTTCATTATAACCTGTCATTCTGGTTACACCACCAAGTACGGCCGCAGCGCCAACCATTGCATACAACCCAGGTGTTATGCAGTCATCCCCAGTGGAACATTCGCCGGAGAAAAGCCAAATCTTGGGATATTTGTATGCCAATTGTTCCACTCCTTCAAATAAACATTTATTGATTAATTTTTACTCTAAAGAAGTTTCGGGAATTGTTAGTATGTGTATGTATTTGTAAGAAGAAGTATGTATTTGGAGAGCTTATGTAAGTGTGAATGTAGTCGCTAAGAATAAGTTAACAATGGCATTCATACTTTTAAGCATATTTTTAATAGCCTTTTATCAATAATTATTATCAAATTAAAGCACTCTCTTTCTTCAAAAGGCAAATATTGCGTCTATTAAAATTGTCATAATTTTATTTTTAAAAGTATTTGATAAATGAAAAGGGGCAAAGGGGGTATTAGAGAAAAATAATATTATATAACTTGTATGCTACAATCAGTTTTATAAAACATATTGTAGCATGCAAGTTCAGATGATTAATTGTACACAGCAGGTATGAAAAACAGTCAGTGATGACTGAGAAATTTACCAATGCCAACAATACGACCAGCGATAGCTCCAAGTGCAAGACTGGGGATGAAGAGACCACAGGGTACTTTGATGCCAAAAGTGAATACAGTCATGACGAGTTTTAAGACCAACGCAAGGAACAACAGCCATATGGCGTGATAAACGCCAGGACCAGCAGCGGCCTTCTCAATGGCGGAGTTCACATCCGTGAAATTACGGTTGTAGTCACTGTAAGAAAAAAAAAAGAATTTTGATGATCGGTTCATAAATGGCGGAGATATCGGTGAACATACATAAAAAGAATACATACAGACGATCATAGAACCCCCTTCTTTTTGAAGTCGGTTAAAAAGATAGGTATTTAAAGAACATAATCCATTATTCTTGTCATTCTCACGTTTCAGTAATTTGTGTATGATCAATTAAAAGTAATGGGGGTTAATTTCTACTTCTGAAAGATAACAAAACAGAAAAAGAACTCACCATAGAGGGTCAGAGTTGGATATTCCACATTGATTGAACAGTAGATAGATAAGCTGACTTGTGTTCATACGCGTATATGGATTAGGGTAGGCGATGATAGCTGTCACTAGGGTGACCACAAGAACTTCAGTCACTGGATATTGGCCGAGCTTCGAATATTTACGGTAACGACACCAGTATATGTTTGCTTTGATGAATATAGTTGCAATGCAACCCTAAAACGAAAAGTTGTAAATATTAGTAATGTAAATGGTAAAAAAATGTGTGCGTGTACTAGCGTACACTCGTAAGAAGTGAAACTTTTTTATGACGTTATTTTTCAAAAAATAATTTACTATATGCAACTTTACAGAAATTGGTTAAATAAAGTTAAATTAGATAAAGTTTAATAAAAGGCTTTTATTATCATAGACATAAATACAAATTCTACAATTATTTCATTTTAGCTTTGTATAATATTTAGTTTCTTATTTGTAATACATAGGTGGCGTTAGTAATAAATTAAAACACACTATGGTTTGACCGTTGTAATTAGTAGTAGTTCCGCAAAAATTGTTGATTAAAAAACTTGCAACGTGAACCTTGTTTATTTCAATTAACCTCACGGACCCAAAATACAACCGCTTTGAATTTGTACATGGTCCTTCGTTGCCGAATAGTCAGCCAGTGAGTAGAAGGCAGACATTCGACTCGTGCGCGAGTGTTGTGAGTGAAGTTTTTTTTGGAAAACCGAACTTGCGGACGTTGGATCGACGTCGCAACCGCAAGTTCCAGGAGCCGATCGAGGCTTCGAAGAGCATTCGTGCTCTGAAGTATTAGATCTAGCACTGTCATTACTACAAATATTATTATTGAATTTCATTAATTGTAATAGAATTATTACTATCATTGATGTCGTTATTATATATTTGTGTTATTAATGGCTTATGGTAACTGAAATACGAAATATATTGTTTACATTTTAGAATTAAAATAAACCCTTTGATTTTGCTGATCACTTTAATATAACATATATATATATATATATATATTGTTATGAACACACAAAGGAACTAACGCCATCTAGCGTCAACTATTAAAACCACTAAGAAAAAGATGGCGCGTAACGCAAAAATGTTACACTAAAATTTTCCAACCCCGATAAAGAAGTTTCACTTCAAAAAAAACAAAACCGGAACATAAGTCTTACCCCGATAATTCCAAGGCCGACAAAAGGAATCAGCTCAAAGAATATCCACGGCTTGTTATACTCAACGAAAAACAGAACAGAATGCTCATTCCCAAAAGGATTGATAGAACGCAGAATGAAAGCCGCGATCAAAGCACAGAAGAAGGAACGCCACAGTGTCTTCAATGGGAAATAGTAGGAAACCTGTTAACAATAAATAACATATTATGTAAAGTAAACCAACATAAATAATCACTAAAACAAACTTTAATCATTTAAGTTTAATCATTTAATATATATACAGCGTGTCGTTATAAACGCGACAATAAATGAACACCCGTCTAACGCTACTTGCCAATAATCATAAAAACATATAAACGTTACAAAATATCCATAATTAAAAAAAATATTTTTCAAACAAACTAATTAAGTTAAAAAGAAACAAAATTTGTAACACCTATACAACTACAACTGACTGATTCATACATTCAGAGACTTTTTCATTTGTTGCCACAGTGTCGCATTACAAGCCTCTCCTAACAGTATGTTTTGTCTCTTTTAAATTCATTCAACCCATTCATATGCTTTGCGACCTTTACAAATGAACTTTACGTTACAGATTTATACATAAGGGTGTTCTAAAATTGTTTGTTTTGGAAAATTTTATACTTCGGTAAATATTGATGTTTATAAGAAGTAAGAGTTTATGTAATATAAGAATGTAAATGTTTAATACAATTTTGAAGTTATCCTCAATATGTGTGTTCATTTATTGTCGCTGTTGTAACAACACGCTGTATATATAGTAGCTGTGAGGAAACCTGCATATTTTCGAAATAATAATTAAAAAAAAATATATTTCGAAGATATGTGAAGTCCGCCAACCCAAAGTGGGGCGCGTGTTTGACTATGCCCTGATACCTTCGGTATAGAGGAGGCCTTTGCTCAGCAGTGGGACATGTATAGGCTGTTACTTTATTTTATATTTTATATAAAAGATATGTTTTTTCATGCTCCAATATGTGCAATATGTGGGTACTTTATACTTTGTTTTCAAATAAAATTAAATAAGTCTAGAAGCGACAGACGATTGAAGCTACCTAGCTACATTAAAAGCATAGTACATGCTCATGTAATTTTATTTCACGTCCGCCAAGCTGCAATGGGGCCGCGTGGTGGACTATGTCCTGATACCCTCTGTACAGAGGAGGTCTTTGCCCAGCAGTGGGACTTTTATAGGCTGTTACTTAATTTTTTACTTTTATAGATCATTTAAAGTATAGGGTCTAAATTTTAGTTTTATTGAAATGTAGAATACCTCTTCAAGACTGAAAAGAACACCGCCAATAGGTGCACCAAAAGCAACGGAAACGCCTGCAGCGGCGGCAGCAGACAGAATTTCACGCTTTTTAGCCTCATTGCGACCATACTTCGGGAACAGATAAGATAAGATGTTACCTGCAAGGAATAAAAAAGTTTACAACATTTACAAAAATTATAATTTATATTGCGTAGAATACGTAAATTTGGGGGATAATGTATATGTTTTTACAACAAAAAGACTTCAGCGTCGGGGATCGTAGGTTCGATTCCCACATGGGACAACTATTTGTGTGACCCATAGTTGTCCCGCATCTGGGTGTCTGTCCGTGTGAAATTTAATTTGGAAAAACATCCTTACATCACAGGATAATGTTATCCTATCGATCAAAATAAATGTTGCTAAATTAAAAAAAAATTTTAAAGGAATTTTTAGGTGTTAAAGACTATTATAACATTAGTGTTTATTTAAATGTTAAGTGTGATAGCTCAGTGAAGTCTGCCAATCCACAGTGAGGTCATTTGTTGAACTATGCCCTGATACCCTCCTTACAGAGGAGGCCTTTGTCATAACATATTCTGGAAAGTAAATGATCGCTGCATGATTGATTTGCTCTTTCCAGCAGAATTTAAACATATTATCTTTTATAAAACATGTTTAAAAAAAATTGCTCTGCTGAGATTCTTTTGCCTAACCTCCTCAGGTCATTGGATTTTTCCTTACTGGTAGTAGTGTTTTTTGACTATCAATAAGTATGTGTAATGTTTCTATATTGAATAAAGATATTATAATTTGAATATAAGAGCATGTGAATTTTCATAAAACTAAAATATTTAATTTATATGTATATAGCAATCTTATCTTGTTTGACAAGTTAAGATGATAATAATTAATGATTTACTTACCAAGGCAACTAGCAATGTGCACCATGGGACCTTCCTTTCCCAGGGACAGACCAGATGACACAGACAATATCAACCCCACAACCTTGATGATGAGAGTCCATTTTCCAAGGTACCCACGGATAATAAAGCCACTCAAGATTGTTTTTATCTCTGGTATACCTGATGGTAATAAAAAAGATTATTTACATTTCAATAGAAAATTGTTTAATATGCTATCTCACTTAGTCGTAAAATAAGTGAAAACGAACCAGAACCACAGGCGTAAGGTGCAAACATGCGTACAAGGGAAGCAGAGAGAGCAGCAAATGTGAGTGCCCACACAATGTAAAATAGATAGCTAATGATGTATGCTCCAGCACCTTCACGCGATTCGCCAAACACTTGGGGCCAAGTGAGCCACTGTAATAATCAATTATTAATTTAAACGTTAGTGTATAGAATGACAATGGAATTGGACTGGACAACAATAGATATACTACATTGCACTGGTTGTTGGGACTTACAACCCAACCTCTTCTATCATAGTGTATTAATTACACTTTTTTAAATAAATCTTATTAAATGTGCACAATCAGTACTTCTAAAAGTCATAGTAGTCCATGGGGTTTTAAACATTACCTACCTGTGAGCAATTGCCTTGATCAAATGTGGTCTCATCACTTGACCAACAGCATTGTTCTCGGTTAAACCAAAATGCTTGAGAGCATATACCAAATTTGAGATCGGTCATCCAAGAAGCTCCAATATCTATAACACCAGCCACAACTCCGGTACAAACTCCCACCAATAGCACGCAGACCCAACCAGACCATGCATCATGTGCACCCTTAAAAAAAACATTTGATTATAGAGACTTCCGGATAAAAAAAACAACAATGATTTATATGACTATGCCATTGAAATTGTTGATGGCAAGCTTATAAATCCAGGATTATACATAAACTGACAGCAATGAACTTTTTATGTAGTGTGGAAATCTACATATTTTCAAACAAATAATAAATACTATATTTCGCAGTGGACTCAAATGGGCTGAAACAATGATGATGAATAAAAACAAATATTTTGAAGATATGAGGATTAATTACATTGTTATAAAACTTTAATTAACCTGCAAGGAATTACCAATTTCAAACATTGATAACATTAGGAAATTCAAATCATCAATTTGATGTGCCTTTGTAAAATAGGACACATGAGTAATATTAAAATGTTTTATAACTGCATAGATCAAATATCAATGCTTTTTGTAAACAAGGAAAAAATTGTGATATTTGTTCCAGTGCAACTTACTTTTATAAGATCCCACAATGAATCTTGCCTTTTCTTAACAATGTATCTGTGTCTCATCCGGTCCCTAGCAATGTCACGCTGCCAATCAATAGTATGGAAATCATCATATTGGCCAATTCCAGGGATATCATCAGTATCACCTTAAATAATGAAAATGATTTATCAACATGTAACAACAAAATTTATTGCAGCATAATGAACAGCAAAGCTGATTCAAAATCAGCTTCACAGAACTAATGTATTTTTTAATACAACAACATTTATCTAATACATAATTGACAATTAATGCATATTGATCCAAATTCATACCAAAAAATAAATATACTTGCATTGACTACAATAGTTCTCAATTTTCATGCATTCAGCGTAATCATGAACATTTTTCATTTTATTTCAGCTGGATATTTCAATTCTTTATATTAACAAGTAATAAACACATCATTAATACAATTTTAATTTTCTCAAAGAAACATTTCCTATTATATTTTATCATGATGAATATTTAGCACTGATATTTTTATAATGAATGTAGCCGCTGTAGTTACAATCAATTTGCAATATGTATACTTTATAAAAAGATCTCATAACTATAAAAAAACAGACATGCTAAAGAAGAGGCAAAAAAAATATGAACATGTTAACATAGTCTGATAATTGAGCTCTATATTAGTTTCCAGCGAAATTGTACGTGTTCAGTTTGGTAACTAAAATGTAAGCATATATTACAACAATAGTGAAGTTCTTCTTTTTCTTGGTATGATTTATAGGTATTCGCTAGTGCCGTAGTAAAGTTTAGTTCATGATGCTACTACATAAATGTACAGCAAATGTACTTACCCTGCATACCGGAAAATATAACTGCGTCCCCTATAACAAGATAAAAGAAGCTTTGTAGAAACTACACTGTTTCCAAACCTTCGTCTTTCTGCAACGTTGACACCGTTACGACATTATGACAATAACAGTTAGTAATCTTTCTTAGCCAACTATATAATCCAAATATTAAAACATGGGAGGTCGGTGCGTTGAAAGTAATAAGTGGTTAAACAAAAGATAGTCCACCATGTCAGACTGATGAAGATATCGATAAATTGTAAGATAATAGCTATTAGGAACAGGTACAGCAACCGAATCAGATTAGGTAAAGGTATCGAACGTCAAAATGGTGTTGCTATACTGAAATCTGTGAAATTACTAAAACTGCTTAACAATTTTTAGTTCGTTTTTCACTCTCACAAATATTTTTATTCGATAGAAAAATATAACAGAATTAATATAAAAATTTTGATAGAAAATTAGATTTTGTGCCAAAATAATTGAAACAATCAAAATAATTACACAATTACTAAAAGAAAAGGAATACTGTTTTGAAGTCTACAAAGTAAAGTACAAACGTTATTTGTGATTATGAATAATATCAAAATATTATACATGCAATTGCTTTAAAACATGACTTAGTGTTCTATTGCAATGAAAGTAATACTTATCACTTAAGTAGTTGTTATGGTCATACTACGTGGTAGTATGACCATGACCAAAGTGGAACTATGGATGAACTAAAATAATGCATTAGCATATGCATACTAATAAAAATTATAATTATTCATGCATTTAAAATATAGCTCTTTTATAAGCGAACGACATTAAATGGCTTAAAGCTAAAGGGGTTTCGAGGTGTCATCGCGCTAGCGAAATATTATCATACAGATTAAGTTGTGTGTTAAAATATTTTACACGTAGACCTGGTCACAATATTGTCGCATTTTAGTATAAATTGTACTAATTGTAACCATTATCATAACATATTACAGTGTGTGGAGAATATTTTTCAGTTTTTCTCTATGGACTAAAACATTTGTTGAAATGTTTTTTAAAAATAATAATTAAAAAATATTAAAAAAAAAACAGCATTCGATGGCTTCGAATCGAAGCAAACTGTACAATTGACCATAACTCGATCTCAAGATCCATACTTGGACGGATGATTTGAGATCTTAGTAATATTATGTTAGACGAGCTGTTATCCGCGGCTTCACCGGCGCGGCCAGAAGGAATTAACAATGACCTTTTTATTAGACACTACTTAGTTGACACTTATAATTAAGTACCAATATTTCGTACAATTCACACAATATCTTTATATATTATGTGTTATTCTGATGTGTAAGCTATATTATTGTAAGTTTCATTAAAATCTATTCAGTAGTATTTGTGTGAAAGAGTAACAAACATCCATCCATACATACAATTTTTCCCCTTTATAATATTAGTAAAGATACATGTATATTACTGATGAGAAGAAATAAGAATAAATGAAAAACAAATAAAGCAGTGAACATGTTCATAGGTATCGCTTTTGCCAATAGAACGGATGCGGAACAAATTAATCAACAATTGCAAGGGCATAAGCGTGTAGACACTGAAATATTTCTCCCTTACCAGTAGAAGTACTGAAGTACTCAGCGATGTAGGCTTGAAAAGAGAAAACAACAAATCAGTCACTGTTGTCATCTCTCTTAGCATTATATTCTTGTGACGAGTTCATGAAGAGAAAACACGTTGGCAACACTAAGGCTATTTAATTAAAATGAACGCTAGCGAGGAAGAGAAAAAATTAAGTAAATTCTAAAAGATAACAGTTAAAATGACGTATAGACAAATATTTATTTGGATCTATAACATACCTGCCCAATTTTGGTTACAAATATTCTAGACTTATAATCGGTACCCCTTTAACTACAATACTTAATATACGTGGTTATAGTATGCAGTATAGCCGACGATACATTAGCTTTATTTGGTAGACCGTGCAAAAATGTTAATTAGGTCTCTAAGAAAACTTACTTTAATTATAAGGCCTATGTATAGATAGTATAAAACAGGGCGCCGCGCGATGACTTTTTAAAAGAAAACTAGACTCACAGTTGCTTCTGGCGTTTGAGTTTCTGCCGCTGTGCTCGTACAGCTGGAAGGTGCCGTGGTTGGTGGGGGTTGTGGGCGAGGTTACGGCCGCCTGTTGCAGCCCCGGCGTTATGTCTACCATGTCCTCTTCCCCCGTCGACGCCACCCCGCGACCATTCGTGCTGCCTGCCCCCTACACCAGATAGCAAATCAACCTTGAATCGAAATTCTACCGCTATGAAGAACACACATACGCAATATATAAATATAATTTCATTAAATACAAAGATTTTGAAAGAGTTAATTAAAATCGGTGCTATGTCAAAACATTTTAGTATCAATAGTATCTATTTAATTTACTATACAGAATTTCATTTATTCACAATCATGTATATTTGTGACCGTCATAAGCAACAAAACATCAGCCACGTCCTAAACGACGCTATGCGAGGCTAACAGCCAATTTCCATAATTGCCAGTTGGCAAGTCAGATTGATAATCGCGGTACAATGACGCTGGTGAGTGAGGGTGTCATTGCAGTAAAGTTAAATCGCACGCTCCTTTACATATATATGCGTGAATTTAACGAAAATACAACATTGTAAACTTTGCCTAGTCTAAGGCAAAGTCTAAAATATTAACCTAAGGATTACAGCTGTTTTATATAAAAAATAGATTCGAATATCAATGAAGTGTTAATAAAACGACTAAGTTTAAGTTTGTTATTCAAGGACGGGAGTCACATACCAGTACAATTCGAAAATTACATTTAGAAAGTAATTGCTAAATGAGGTGATAGTCTAAATGTTATTAACTCGTATTAAAGATTACAAAAATGTTTTACAATTGTAATCAACACATTTTTTTTTCTCTTTCGTGTATTCTGCTAAAATCATATCAATAGAATCTACACAATGTTCAGTACATTGTGCATCTCATCGCTCTGTTGCCAGTTTAAGCTGCAATGCACTGCTCAACTTCCTAAGGTAACTAGGCCTTTTTCTACCATAGACAATTGTTTGTCCTCAGAGGAATAAATAGAGCTCAAACTTTTCTAACTATTTTGAGCAACAATTGGTACCCAGTAGGTACGGGCAGAAATTGAAGCGAGGTCTGTTCGGGCGCAGTAGTCACGTGTCATACCAGCGTACAATTGCAATACTGCACCGAGCACAGGCGATGATAGGAGGAGGAAATTCAATTATTGGCACGACATTATCTGGTACTGGTACTGTACTGGTGGCACGGTTCGGTGAAAATATGTCTACTGGGAGTTAATTGTGTACTGTAATGGGAACATTGTGTAATAATTGTTTTGTTCATCAAGAATATAAGAATTTATGAAGCGATTGTACCTTTTCTTTTTTATAAGTATTTTGAGTTGGTGAAAAAGTAACTTTTGAGAAATGTTTCAAAGAAAGACGGTCCATTTAATTGTCTGTGCTTCTTAAAGAAATTATACATTATATAATATAAAATAAAATAAATTACATGGTTTTAGTAAATGATATGAAAGCGTACAACTGCCCAGGGTTCAGGAGGTTTCCATTAGGGTATTAAATATGTGCGCGCTAAGTAGCTTTCAACGGCTATTTGAACAGAAGTTTTGCCTCTTTCAGTCCATTCGACTTATGATTTTTTTATTATTAATCTTTTATGTTTATCTATTATATTACTGCTAACATTCTCTACGTTATTATTTTCAATTTGTTATTTTGTTCATCAGGTGCATAACGTTACTACTTAACTCTACATATATTCTTTTTGGTTAAATTTGTTATAAGATAATTTTTTAATTACTTGAGACCTGTCAGGGCTAAGATAGGGGTTAGGCCTGGGTAGGCCTCTTTTTGTTTGTCAGATTACTGTATTATAAGCGATAATAGCCAGGTAAGGGATAAGCACTGCTCGTTTACGTAAATCACTTGTGGGGTCGTAAGTCCGTAAGGTACCGCTGGTTCGGAAAGCAGTTTCTGTTGAGAGAGACCGGCAAGAAACTAAACAGTTGCACATGTATTTACTCCACACATTGGCGTCGTCGAGATATTCCGCAGTTTAATATAATATGCTTTAACCATAAGTTGGCTTTTAATTTAACGTTTAAATTGATCAAGCGGCAGAATAAATTTATTTTACTTCATCAACTGTGGGATTTTATTATTCATGCGCACACTTTGCCCCATGAATGGCCTATTTACTTTTTGTAGACGAAAAAATGACGTAGTAAGTTTGTCTTTATTTCTGGTATTTATTTTATTGTCTGTCACTATTCTATACGTAATAATTAAGGTTATACCGTATATATAAATTATATTAACCTCTTTAAAAAGATCTCTGAGTGAATTCCGGGCTCCGATATTGTACATTGATCGGACAGCTCTTTTTTGAAGATCGTTTTATAAAATAAAATAAACGGTTCGCGAAGCATGGTTGTTTTGGATCTATTATACCGATAATTTAGAAGTGAACAACAACTCACTAATAGTCGAACACTTGTTCTTGTAATTTAATAAGAAAAAAGTATGCATGAATAGATTTTTGATAAGCGAACTCCCTAATCACACTCCAACGCATTGGCTTATTAAATTATATTTCAATAGGGGCAGAATATACATACAATACTGCCATTAGCCAATAATTTATATACAATACATACATAAAATGTATAAAGCGTGAATTAATATACCAACTGTGACGTGTTAAAAGCCACATGTAAGTATTTGTCAAAGTATGCGTACAATTAGAATTTATTTCAGTACCTTAAAAAACATATTTGTTTTTGAATGAAGAAGAATTTGTTGTATATGTGGTGCTGGACGATGGGTGCTGGAAAATGGATAATTTTTGGTAGAAGTTGATAGTGTTAGTGCCACGCAACGGCTTCGGCTGTTGCAAGAATGGCAGGTATATCCGGGTAAGTACAAAGAAACGCCGATAGATGTCGTCGGTGTACTTTACATTTCAATTACACACTTGGCCAAAGGTTGTTTAATTGCTCTTGTGGTAGGGCCACGCATCATTATTCCCTGTTGCATGAACGGGCACGACCTCACAAGAGATCGCCGTGAATTCCGTTAAGTGGAAGTGTCATACTTCTGCGTTTCATCTGGTGAGTGAGGTAGCTGGAGCCTACTTTATGAAAAGGAGGAAACGCATCTGCAACCCTACGGGTGTGCAAATGTCTATGGGTTACGGTTATCACTTAACATCAGGTGAACCACCAGCTCACATAAAAAAGAGTACTTGTCACCCGAAACCTATGATCAAGACTGTTTAATCGTCTGTCTACGGAATGTAATAGCTAACCACTTTTGATTTTTATGATATTAAATTTATCGTTACCCTCACAAAAGAAATAACTTGAAAATAAAAAGAGAAAAAAAAAACATCTGGGCTCGAACCGGGGATTTCGGGTTTGGTTCCGCCTGATTTCCCACGAGCTATTATAACCTTGTATGGTGGCTAAATTTACTTTCGTATACTAATAATATTGTAGCAGTTTTTAATTTTCTGAAAACACGGATAAAACGACATTTTCTAAAAATTAAACCTAGCTAGATCGATTTATCGCCCCGAAACCCACGCATACTGAACTTCATGAAAATCGGTAACGCCGATATTCTAATTATATATACAAGAATTGATCGTTTAAGGTGTCAATAAAAATACATTTTATTTTATTATATAAAATATATGTAAGGGGCGTTATTATAAATGATGTTGCACTTCTGAACAATCAACTCCACAAAAATTTCATTATTTAATTAGCGAAAAGCCGTTATCTTCAATAGATAAAAACAAGAAATTTCAGCAAGTGTAATGCGCAAGTTGTTGAGCCGTTTAAAAAAGCTTTTTTTACTAATGTTAATAATATTAAAACGATTTTGCCGTTTAACACAATACATTTTTCCTGACTCGCAAAATCTCTCACAATTGAATTGAAAAGCAACCCGAAGAATCGCAACTGCGGCGAACGTCCGATTGAAACTAGAGCAATCCATTAGAAATAATAAGATCAGGTCCATTAGAAATAAAAGACGCACACGAAACGCATATTCAGTCGCGTTATTCGCCAAGCGTTCAAAATGATTACTTACGTTAAAAAACCTCCCATATCGCATGTCTGCCGCTCTATGGGACAATGCTACGAGACACTATGCCATAAAACGGTATCTAAACACGGACGTACACAGACAGGCAAACGGCGAGCACGTTCGCGCCAGATGAGGACGTCGCGCGGTGTGGAGCTTGAAGGCTTGAATGAAACAGATAGAGACGCGGTGTATCAGACGAGATTTTGCACGGTGGAAGTGAGAAATCAATAAATCTGGGCTACAGGTCCTGATATAGACGTCCTAGGGGCCAATGCTGCACCGTGCGCGGCATCGATACATTAGCGGCCGCGGCGATACTCAATTGATTCGTTCTTTGTTTCATTCGTTTTCCGTATCGATATTCTTTCTCCTCTACTTCACTTTATAATCACAAACAAGTTACAATTTAAAAGATAAAACGTTGTTATAAAAATAAAAGTGCTAGAACTTACAATGCTGCCAAATAATATTTTGGTAGATACATTTCAGAGCAATATTTTAAGATGACTTTAGTTTTTACAAATTGTAAATGGCATTGTTAAGTCTTATTAATGTCAGTTGAATATATGTTGCAAGGCCTAAGATTGTCGGTAAGTGCTAAGTTGTAAATGAAAAATAAGTGCATCGGTCGGACAAGAAAATTGACCTTATCTTAGAGTAACTATAAATTGGCAATATAATTCGACAAATAAAAGTAATCGTACGCGACGGGTCATAACAAGACAGCATAAGCAATTCATCATCGACAATAACAACATTCGACCCTAAGCGGCGTTTAAGCGAACATTACTGCAACAAGTTGAGATGGCGTGACGACGGGCCGCGATAGACGGCCGAAACGGCAATTTATGTTTCGGTCGTATCACCCCTACCGGGAGATGCAAGCTGGACATGCGCAGTACAGCGAAAGATGTGTTCACGCGTTAGCTGTCTCGCGTCCCAGGCTCACCAATCATGTGACGTGTAACGAGACCGAGATTAAAAAAAACACCGGTCATGCGTCGTCAGTCCCTCATAGATGCACATTCGAATTGAGTACTCGCCACTAATATTGATCAAGTACACGAGTTCGGACGGCTCCGGGAATCGTCTCTTCTTC